GGGTTCAAAGGCGGGAAGTAAACTTCCTAGACCGAATCTAGAACAACAAAGAAGGGCAAGTCAAAGACATTTTCCCGTCTCCAGCCCTCTCGCTTCCCTGTGAACAATTTATCTCTAGAGAAAGGCGCGCCAGGCTGGGGATTTATCACGCGGGGAGGTCAAGTCGGATGCCTTGACTCGATCAAAGGTACAACTCCTGATTATCAGTTTGGGAGGTTCGCTCAAACGCACCGTTGACCAGGACTTGCGGATTGAGGCAGGCAGTTTATCCAGTGACCCCCTAAGCCAGATCGGCTGTAATATGTATTATGAAAGGGAAGCCGCGTCGTCGTTACAAGCACCTTGAAAAATCAGCCTGATTATCCCGCCTGAGGGCTTGCGGGGAATTTTAAATATCTCCTAAGCGCGGGTCTGTCCGTGTTACGCGGGTCGTCTGCGGTCGCGCGTCCTGGCACCGAAAGCGAAGTCTTCGAGGGCTATTTGTTTAGCACAGAGAGCAGAAAGGCGTTTTCACGGGAGCTACAAACTCACTCCACAGTTTCGAACTGTTCTTGGAGAGAAGGACCTTTCTGTGGCAACGGACCAGGGTCAAAACGGAAGGTACAGACGGAGCTTTTCACCAGGTCTGGAACTAACGTGTCCTGGAAGGAGGCTTCCAGTCCCGAGCTGCGCTGCGCCCCGCCGCTTCCCTCAGCCGGCTAGATAAAAAAGTTGGGGTGTGCGGCGGGGGGGTGGGCGCTGACTCTTCTGAAGCGCATTAGTTGTTGCAAACCGAAACGTCGCCAAACAGCCCAACTGACGGAAGCCTGCTCATTTTTAATCCTACCGTGAGGCTACCTTCTGGATGCTAAACGCGGATTTGTAGAGACTAATGGCTAGCAGCGCAACCCTATGTATGTCTACCCCAAAATAAGGGCGATTAAATTCACAGGAGATGTAAGATTGCAGCTAAAAGTCGACTTCTATCGAAGGAATCTCTGTCTGTGCTTGAAATAACTAGAAAGGGGCTATAAAGCCAGACGGTGCCCCTAGTTCGTGATCCCATGCACCCCTACTTAGTAGTAAGCACGCCTGAGGCCAGCAGGATTTCTTTCCAAGTAAACGTGAATTAGCTGCAGTGCTACCTGGTTTGTAGATTGCTGCCACCCACTTGTATCCTAAACAATTTCCATTATTTGATTTCAAGTAGTGTGTCTCTAGGACAGAGAAATCAGAATTGTAGATGCACAGGCACATGACTTACACACACACACACACATTTAACACTATGTGTGGTATGTCTACCTCCTCCTTTATATGAAATATAGGCATACTCTTTATTTATTTATTTATTTATTTATTTATTTATTTATTTATTTAAAGGTGTCTGTGTTAAACTGTTATGAGTCTATAGAACCTATATAAGTGCGTATGTGTGTGGACTGTTATATATCACACACAAATTTAAGTCCCACAAATGTAAGATTTCTGGAAAAATGTCCAGAAATGACATCACACCCAAGTTTCTATTTAGGAATTATTCCAACACTCTAGCAATCCACTGGAAATGTTACAGCAAAGCATGTTAAGACAGTGTCCACATTCTTTCTTCAGCAGATCTTTTAAAAATATTATTTTAAAAAGCGATATTCCCAAAATCTAAGAGAAGAAATTGAGTTTTTAAAGAGGGAGGGAGGGAAGAAAGAAAGCCTTGAATATCTGTTATCGCTTTGGTGCTCCTGCTAATTCATAGCCCCACTGTGTAAAGAAACCACAAAGTCCCCGAATATCTGAAATAGCTCCAAGCAGATATGGAGAGATTCCGGAGAATTAAAACAAAGGATGGGGGTGCGTGGGGAAGCTCCCAGCACTTGTCGAAAGGAGTTACTTTCCAAATTCCCGTTACCAGCAGGACAGAAAACTGGTGATCGTCTGAAAGCATCCTTGAATTAAACTGAAAGCGTTAAGAAGTCGCGCGCCCTGCTAACCCCTTCCGGCCATTGGAGATCCGTTTGTTTCACCAGTGACCTCTGTTAGGAGGCGGAGGGGTGCTTGGCCTTTCCTGGCCAGACTAAACAGAACACGGCTGCACTTTACAGGACTTTGCCACCTGTGGCTGAAGCGAGGCGGTTTGCTCGTGAGAGCCGGCCGATGTGGGAATGGACGGAATCCAAGACAGGACTGCGTTCGTACAGGCTCTGCGGCTGGGAGGTCTTAATTGGAACTGCCAGCAACCAAACATCGCGTCTTCACAGGGTCCGAACCCCAAGGAATTCGAATCGGTCTACGGTTTGTCCACACGTGCCAAGTGCCTTGCTCCGGAAACTGCACTCTAAATGGGACCGAGACTCAGGCTCCCAGCCCGCTAGCCCTGTCCCCTTCCTTCTGATCCCTGAGCGTTAAGGCAGCTACGTTCCCACGCCACAGGTCCATACACGATGAGGCAGACAACAAAATGTTATACCTTGCTGACTCGTGTAAAGCTGCAATGAAGGCGCTACAGGCCACTGCTAAAACGGACTTATCGTAGGATGATTCCCGGGAAAACACAAGGAAAGTCAAAAGAGTTTAAACGGGCCGCTTACACATAAATCAGGGCGTTCAAAGTGAAGCCTGACCCTACCTGACAGCTATCCTGAACTGTTACTTGAAAAAAGCAAAACAAAACCAAACAAAAAACCGCGTCGATTCAAACCTATTTCGCATTATTTTTAAGATCTGTCTTTTCTCTCCCTCCCCTTCTTTCCCCGCTTGCCAAATCCAGCGGCGCGGGGGGGGGGGGGGGACATTCAGGTAATGAAGTCTGTAACTAAACGGTAATTGAATCAGCATAATTTGCACATTGAATGGTTTTCAAATGCTCCCGGTTTACAATTAAAGGAGAATTAATGCGCTTGTTTTCAGCCTGCCGCGCATTAGAATAAATCCCGCGCCGCCGTTGTTGCAGTGACTGGGAAAGAGTTTAAGTGCCAGCCAACACAGGGGCGGGGGAGCGAGACATTCACGAGGCGGATTGGTCTTGCGCCTCCTGCCTGGGAGAGGCGACACGTTCCGGAGCGAGCTCCCTTGCCATCGCCACCACCTACAAGAAGCAGGGAGAAGCGCAATGGCGACTCACGCCAACGAAAGTCGCGACAAGGGGAGGGGGTGTGACCCTCTCAAGGATCCGTAGTCGAGCCAAGCCTTCTTGGGTCGCTGCCCCCGATCAACGTCATCAGGGCGGTTGCTGCCATTGCTCTGCTGATCTTAGGCGACCCTCAATCCTCGTCCCTGTTCCCTTTCTATTTTGAGACGGCACCGCAGCCCCAAGATTCCGCCTGGCAGAAAAGGAACGGAGCAGAAGCCAGAATGAATTCTTTTTTGTTTTGTCCTTTCCTTTAAAAAAGCAAGAAAGCGTTCCCCAAGACTTTTTTTTTTGGGGGGGGGGGCTTCTAAACTGCGACTATGTCCGTTTCGTAGGTGAAGGTTGTACAAGCAGGTGATGGCATCCAAGAGCGCTTATTCCCATCTGGAAAGGTTGCCCCTGTGTTCACCTGCTTACCCCCAAGGTGTCCTGGGCTGGGCTGAGACTGGCGCGCAGCACCCTCAAGCGGCCAAACCTTGCAATCACCGGCCAACTGCGCAAAGAAAGCAAGCTTACATAGAAAAAGGGTTGCACTGGGACAGCTTCAAGGTTTGTACTTCTCGGATCATAGTTCTTATTCAAGCCACGATCAGATTTTCACTTCTCTCCATCCGGCCTGCTCCTCCTAGGCGCCTTGCTTTTCCAGCCTGAAAGCCGAACGCTACGAATCCCCTGACTCAGTAAGCAGATGGCGATCTGCTAGTTTATGTTGATCCTTGTGACCGTGCGGGCGCGTCGGATCCGTGGGGAAGAAGATGATTCGGTTGTGTTAACTCGCCTCCCTTCCGGTAATCGTGAAGGAGATCTGGCACGGGGCTTATTCGACAGCACTTTATGGGGGTGGCGGGGGGGGGGGAGAGAAATGGAATGCTAGGCGGTGTTTTTCCCAAAATGTTTATACCAATATATCTTATTCTGCTTCCCTCCTTCACGCTGGTTCGCTCACGCACGCACAAGCCTAAATGATCTGTACTATGGCCCTGGCCAGAGCAACAACAAAGACGCCCCTGATGTCCCAAAGAGTGCTAAAGCTGCCCCCGTGCCAGAGCAGCTGACACCCGGTAGCCTCAAGGATGCGGGGGCGGGGGGGGGGGGGGGGGGGGGGGGGGGGAGGTCAGAGAGAGGGAGACGATCTCGTCCACACCAAGAGGCCCATCCCCTGTGTACAGACAGATGTCCCCAACCCGGCGCCTTCCAGACCATCCAGCCAAGGACTTGAGCTTCAGTCCCACACATCTGGAAGGTGCTACGTTGGGGAAGACTGCTTTGAGGAGTTTAGCTCTGGGCGCGCTGCTGGGCTGGATTTAAGAACTGCTTTGGACTACACTTTAGGACGGGCTTCAGTTCTCCACTCTCTTTAGAGATGCCCGTCTGGGAACGATGGGCGCCGTAGTCCCAACCCACCTGGGGAAGCCTGCTGCTGTGGGACGCAGAAGAAAAGTTTCCCAGAGCTCGCTTCCCTAAGCCGCCGCCGCCGCCGCCGCCCACACGCACGCACACGCTCGCCCCGCTTCGCCACGGCTGCTCCGGGGCTTCCCGGGCGCCCTCGGCAGTCACGGCGCACTAAGACGGCGAAGCCTCCGTCCAGCGTGCGGCTCAGCAGCTGCCCGCGGGCGTCCTTCGTGACTTCGCAGCGCCACCCGCACCGAGCTGGGGAAAGGAGCGGCGGTCCGCGAGCCCAGGCACAAGACTCTGGCGAAGTTGCCGAAGCCGCTGCGCATCCCTGCCCCGAAGCACCTGACCGAGCGAGCGCCACTCCGCTGGGCCAGTTCGGTTCCCGGAGCAAGTGGCTGGAGGCTGGAGGCCTGGGGCCCCGCGTTCGCTTGCCCTCAGCCCAAGTGGGACGGGGTGGTGGTGCGGAGGGGAGCAGGAGGGGAGGCGGGCACAAGCAACTTACCAGGTAGAGAGCAGGCTGCAGCAGAAACATCGCGTACCAATAGACCGGCCGCATCCTCCCGCTCAAACTTCCTTCGCCTCGCCGCTGCTTGCTCTTTGTTCCTCCAGGTGCATAGATCCGCCTGACATCTACTTTTATAGAAGCAGGAGAGCTCGCAGCAGCCTGGGCAAAAATGAAATTATAGACTCCATGACCACAAGACAAGGCTAGCCTTCGTCGAGGCAAGTGGAAAGGAAGAGGTGCGGGCGCGGGGTGGGGTGGGGTGGGGGCGGGTGCCAGGAGCGAGACGGGGACAGGGAGAGGGCAGCGAGGGCAGCGAATTACGACTCAAATCGAGTTAATCCATCTACGGAACAGAGGGCGGGGAGAAGGGCTTCCCTCGGGCCAAGGCTGTTTGGCTGCGGAGTGACTCCGGAGTAAGGGAGGTGCTTAATCGGGATAGATCTATGGCGCGGGCGGGGGGGCTGGGGTCCAGCTCTGAGTATTATTTGCTGTCAAGGGGAAGGGGTGAGAAGCAGCTGTTGCAGCGCTGCTGCCGACCCACACCGTCCGTGCAGGACAAGCGTCCAGGGAAGGACGTGTGGCTAGTGGAGGCGTGCGGGACGGGCGAAGGGCGAGATCGGGATGAAGGATCCAGCGCCAGGCAGTGGCCAAAAACATCTGTTCGCGCCTTAGAGGCGCAAAGAGGCTCTCGCGCGCGCCCCTCCACGACCAACACGCGCGCGCGCATTCTCACATAGATCCATGCCCGCTCCGGCGCTCAACTCGCGCGTATGTCTCTCGCTCATAAACTGGGCGCCGAAGTGTCGCCCCCGAGCACCTGCCCGCTCCCGCGCTCCTCGCTCTTCCCACCCGTCCTCCCACATGCAGCCCCTCTCCAAAAAGAGAAATCCGAGCCGATCCCTGCCTCTCCCAAAGAGAGAACAGGGGCTACCTACTGCGTGGAGCGTCCAAAAGCAGGCGTCGATCTCCGGCAATAGTCCATAGGAAGCGAGCAAAGCGCCGCCACCCCCTTCGCCAAAAAAAGGGGGGGGAGGAGGAGGGAAGGAAGGGAAAGTGTGTTGGGGAGAGCCCCAGCTACATCGGCTCGGAAGCTCCGGGAGCGAGGCGAGGATTCCCCCGGCGTGGCTGCTCCATGATCTGGCCGAAGGTGTCCCGCGGAAACAGGTGCCGCCGCCGCCGCCGCCGCCGCGAAGCCAGCATGCGGAAGGGAGGTGCCCAGGGGACGGTCACAATGGCAGGAAACTTACAAGAGGAGGAGAGCCGCGGCTGCCCGGACCGCCCGCTCGCCCGCCCGCCCGCGCGCCCGCGAGTGTGTCTTCGCAGCCGGCGCCGCAGCCGCGGCGGCAGCGGCAGCGGCGGCAGCAGCAGCAGCCCGGGCGTTCCGAGCGATTTGTCTCTATTAAAAATGACTTATTGGTTCGCCAGCGCCTGGCGCTGGGCTGCTCTTTAACTTTCGATAAAAATCTATCTGCAAAGACCTTGGCCGATCATCTCTTCGAAGGGGAAGGGAGCGAAGAGAAGAGAAAGGGGAGAGGGAGGGGGAGAGGGGGGGCGGCGCGGGTGGGGGCGGCGGGGAGCACGGCGAGGCGAGGCGAGGCGAGGCGGGCTGGGGAGGCGAGCCGCGCGCGCTGCCCGAGAGGCATGTCAGCCCGCAGCAGAAGCGGCAGCTGCCAGCTCGGGCGGGCGCCCCAGCCGCGCGCGCTCCCTCCGAGCCCCGCTCGCTCGCTCGCTCGCTCGCCCCGGCCGGGCGGGCGGGCGGCGAATCAGCGCCCTCCCGAGGGGCTCGGCGACGCGCTGCCCCGCCGCCAGGGGGCTCCCTCCTCGCACGGCGCTCGGCCCCGGAAGGAAAGGCCGACGCCGCGTCGAAGCGCCCACACGACGTTTTGCACCGTGAGAGAGGGGGAGGCCAGGCTAAGCTTCGCGACTCTCCCTTGCTCGCCACCTCCCACCCCGCTCTTCCTCCTTTCCCCCTTTCCTCTTCTTCTCCAATAGCAATTAATATCCTATGAATATGAATAATGATGTCGCCCGTGGCTTCCGCACAAATAACAAAGCACTTGAAAGGGAAGCTTGATGCCTTCCCGAAGGTTTCCTGGAGATGACTGCAGGGGCTGTGAGATGGCTGGAGAAATGGGGCGTGAAGTCTGGCACCCGAGATAAGAGACGATGGGTTACGGGGCTTAGACGGAGTCGCCTGGCGCACTGTTTTTTCATGGAGGAACTGCCTTTTGTGGGGCGGAAGCGAAGACCCAGGGACTTGGAGGTCTTAAAACCACCTTGCCACTGCTGCCACTGTTTTCCCTTCTCCGCCACCAGGTACAAAGCATCGTGCGTGCGTATTTTACTCCGGATTAATTCATTTGGGCTCAGTACCCCGCCTACTTCCGTGGACCACTCCGCAAGGAAGACTGTAAACCTTCGCTTCAAGCCACAGATGTGCACTGAAAGAAGAAATAAACCCACTCCTTCTCCAGGATTTTCATATGCATGCCTCCTTTTCCCCACTTGTCAATGCAAAAAAAAAAAGTTGTTTCAAGCAGATATGCATACTTCCAGGCCAGTTGCTATTCTGAAATACTAAAGGGCCCTCTGCCATGCACAAGTGCGCATTTTTTGTTGTATACCCAGTGGGAAATGGGGGTCCAGCGCTAATGCATCAAAGTGGGGGAGAGAGATGGGGGACTCAAGTGTGATGAATAATCTTGACTAAGCCTTCCACGTTCTGAAGGGACACTGTCTCTCTTTGCTCTCCTGGCTAGTCGTAGTAGAAATGGCACTGAGGCTGTAATCCAACACACGCTTCGCTGGAAACAAGTCCCAGTGAACTCAGCGGAGCTTATTCCTGAGTCGATGTTTACACAGTTGCACTGTAAGTAGTAGCCTGGCTGTTGGACACCAGCTGAGCAGCTCATAACACCTAATAAATTACCAGCCTGCTATCCTGGGGGAGGCAAGGAGGGGCTGCACCAAGAACAAACTGCAGGCCTGAAAGAGTTTGATCTGCAGAATGCTTTCCAGAGGACTCTCATTTCAGCTGAGCAGGTGCCCTTTTCCAGCACTTGTGTGTCCACATTTGTAATCTAGAGTGGGAGGAGAAGAATAGGCTTAGCCCTTTTTTTAACAAAACAAGGCTGCTTACCAATGAGACTTGTGTGGCTTGTGCAATCAGGACAACTGGCTGACTGTTCCGTTCAGTGTGGGAGCATCCTGGAAGAAAAAAAGTGACCCAGCCCATGCCAGGTATGAATAAACGCCTAGCTTCAAGGCAGAGCATCTCTGGTTAAAATTGGGACAGTTATTTCTATCCAAGATCTTGGAGAATTGCTTCACTTTAGGATAAGCAATACTGAGCTGGTATTTCAAATATACACCAAAACCAAAATATACACCAAAAGCAGCACAGGGAGCCTGGAGACCTCCAATGTTGGGGCGCCAACTCCCATCGGACACAGTTGGCAGGGCCCATAGTGAGGGATTATGGAAGTGGTCCTGCAACACTCTGGAGGCCACTGTGTTGCCTGCCCCTGGCCACAGTACCCAGGAAGTTAGGCATCTAGTTTTGCTATCCTGTGCTGTAAGACTTTATGAAGGGGCAGCATCAATGGTAGGTATGGTCAGGCATCTGCCAAGTGCCCAGAAGCCAGCAGGGACTCACTGATGAGAGACCCCTGGACTTGCTCCTGCACTTCACTCATTCAGCCTGCTTGTTCACCGCCCTTTTGCCCTGGCCCATGCAGCTGTGGTGGTGAGAAGGAGGGGCACCAGATGTCTGCTTATTTGCTCACTGGCTCTCTGCCCATCAAGCAAGCCACCGCTAGCACAGCTGAGGAAGAAGACGAGGAGCAAGAACAGCTGGGCACGTTGTGATGTCAAGGCAGACTCACTAAGGGAGGGACCTGCATGAGGACATCTTGCCCAAGGCCCTCCACAAGCTGGAGCTGGCAGTGCTGTGTCACGCCATCCCTTCACAGAAGGGGAGGATGGGGGTGTGAAATGGAAGATCCCCAGCCTCCAAAAGCAAGGCAAAGCAAACCTGAGCCTCAGCCTTTGAAACATCAGCCGCAGCCTGGCATTTGCTTGGGCAAAGTCTAACAAGCCAGGCTCAGCAGCATCTCTCATTACTTGTGGACGACGGCTGTGATTTATCATCTTCCAAAGGAGGAAACTGAGAGACAGTCATCCCGTGAATGCTCTAGTGTAGCGGAAAAGAAAAGAACTTCATTTGTCCTGCCAAGTACCTGCTCCCTTGGAACACGTCGGGGTGATTAATACTGCCGCCTGACATTTTGATACTAATCTCTAAAATATTGTTACAGCTCAGAGGCCTTGCTTGAGAACATTGTAATAAAAAACCGGATGGGTGATTAAATGCCTTTAGATAAACTGCATGGGAGTCTAGATGTGACCATGATGGTGGCCACAACAGGTACTTCTCTGAACTTTGGGTGTGTTTATATTTACAAATTTATATATTTACATACATATATGGGGGGGAGAGGGAGAGAGAGCTTGCAACCCCCTCCCCACAATGCTAGAGGTCCAAAACCAACAACAGAATTCTATAAAAGACAGTCAAGAGCATCTGGCTCTATCATTATTTCTTTCATTCTGCAACTATGGAGGCCAAGCCCTATCTGGCATTCATAAGCATGTCCAAAGCTCCTTCTCTTTAGGAAAGGATGGATATCATTGATCAGTTGAAGCTAATTCGATAGCTAAAGCTTGCCCTATTGCTTCTATTTCTGTTTATCATTTATATGACTTCTCATAAATATGGTAAGATTTATTGTGTTGCTCCCCCCCCCCAATGGAGGATGGGCAGAAAGTAGAACAGGATCTACTGATATATTTCCAGATGATTTGCAATATATCAGCAACGGTTTATGATGCTCAATAAGTAACAAGATCATATGGAATTGTCTGTATATGGTTTATGCCCACTGGTAAAAATCAGCAAGGTTGGTGAACACAAGAGGCAGGACTGTCCCAGTGGTGGCCCCACATTTCCGGAATTCCCTTCCATTAGACCCCTTCAGCATTTAAAAATTGGT